TGAATAATGAACACATATATGTTGATTTAAGTTAAAATCAATAGACTGTTTGTTCTCAATCCTCCAATATGAAAAAAGAGATAAGGCCTAAAAAAATAATAAGTTGGTTCTCAGGCTCACCAGTATTTTATTCAACAATTCGCATTACCCATTTTTATCCTCAAATAATAAAATACAATTTCTCTCATGCGCTCGTCAATTACCCCCCCCCCCCCAAAAAAAAAAAAAACGGAATTCCTGACTGCATTTTGACTGCATTTTAGAAATCAGTCAATCGTTAGACAAACATCGAGATTATCAAAATTTTTGGCCTAGTTAAAAACACAAATATGGCTGTCAAATACACAGGATAAAGCATCAAGATTAAGATAAGTTATGATGGCATTGATTAAAGTGCAGATTCATGAGGAACCTACTTCCACGGTACAAGGTGGGGTTTCTGAAGGTTTTCCAGGCTAGAACTTGATCAATAACGTGATCAAAGATGGCTCCCTCAACCTCAGAACTCGGTCATCAGCAAGATTCCCAGATTTCATTTAGTGTGGTAAACCAAAAACTAAGGGATTAGACAAAGTTTAATAAAATCATAAGCACTATTTATAGTGCTGAAACACTTAGATTAGTTGTGTTACGTAAGCAATTGACCATCATCACTGTTGGGTTCTGTAAGTTTAACACATCTTGTTTTTAGGATGACATCGTTTCATTATATGAATTATCGGGATCATAGATGTAGAAGATACAATAGAGAAAGAAGCAGGAAATATATTATTTTGATATCTACACTTGATGCTTAAACATCATGGACTACAAATTTAGTTTTGAAATTATAACTTAAAAAAATATTCCCGTTTGTTATTTGTTTTTCATGAGATATAAAGAAAAAAAATGTCCCTCATGCATTTAATATTCTTAAGAAAACAGGACTGAGAACCAAGTTATAATTTTTTTGTTTAAATAATTACTCTATGATGTGCTAAATGAAAACAGAATTAAATAACAACATTCCTGTTTTTCAGTGACTGATGATGACTCACCATTCAAGTCATTTATCAGAATAAATAATGCAGATTTGAAACCAGACCCGAGCAGTGCTGTTGACACATCTGATACAAATGAAAAAGAAGATAATTTGGAAGTAGAAAGTACTGATAAAAGCACTGAAGTAGTTTTATATAGCAGAGAAGAAAAGAAAGAAGAGAATGTAGAAATGTCTATTTCACCAACGTTAACGGAGGACACAGAAGAAGAGAGCACAGTAGAGGTAATGGCCAGTCTTATCTCCTCAGAAGCTCCAGCTGTGGTGAAAGAGGAAATTTTTCAGAAAATCTTGTCTGAAAAAGAGAAGTTACCAACAGTAAGCATGCTGGATTTTGCTGGCCAGTTAGCATATTATGCCTGTCATCAAATTTACGTAACACCAAAGGCCTTCTTTATCCTTGTGTTGGACATGACTAAGAAGTTTGAAGATGTTGTGGATCAAGAGAAAGATAACCAAGAAGGATCAATCTTCTCAGTGTGGACCTACAAAGGTAAGACACTTGTAAAATGTCCAATATTTAGCTCTTCTGAGTCAAAGGCTTAAAAAGCTAATGCTATTGCCATTTGTTCGGTGAGTGGCATGCGTTATGCAGTATTCATGAAAGTTTTAGAATATGGGCCATAACTCAAGATCCCCTTGGTCAATTATTGTCAAAGGATGGCTGCACTTAAGGATAATTAAAATCTGTATAAAACATGTACAGTACCGACTGGACACAACCAAACACCAGAGCAAACTCAAAGCGGACCCTGGGTTTGCTTCGCGGGTTCGCGCAGGGTCAGCTTTGGGTTCGCTTTCAGAAATTTTGGGACCGCTCTGGATTCGCCTTGGGTGTGCTCCAGGTTTGCTCCGCTTTTGCTCAGGGTCAGCTCTGGGTCCGCTAGAGCGAACCCGGCGCTTGCTTTCTGGGACCGCCTTGCAAACTGATGCATGAAGTGGACCTTGCTTTAATCTCGCCGCCCGTAAGCCCCATCCCTTGTTTATTCCAATACAGTAATGAAATTGCGGAATCGATCATTGTTGTTTTGGCAGCAATCCATAGATGTACACTGAATATGTTTGCAGTGACATTATGGAGAACATTGATAAAAATCAACTTTACATTTAGATTAATAAATATTTCCTTGATTTCTCCGCTCTCGGAATTTCGATCCCGGGAAGTGATTTTAACAGCGGGCTATTAGGCATTTATTTTCATTATTTATAATGTGAAAACAAAAACAGAGGAGGAAGAAAAGGATGTTGAATTGATTTTCATTGTATCGAATGATGTTCAAGTGAAACTGATGAAAGCATCTAAACAAATTACCTTTCAAATTCATGCGTTATATAGTCCTAAATTAAATTTGTTATTTTTTTATGCTTTGCTTAATCGTAGTCTAAATGTTTGACAAACACTGAGTTATGATATCTTTAAATTAACCTTTTGTGCATTTGATATATTTACATTTCATTTATAATATTTACACCTTGGAAGTTCGTAATATATATTTTCCGGACGCTTTTAAAAAAAGATATATTTCATCAGAACTTGATTACGCTCAGAATTATGGATAGAGTATGATTTTAATCAGAATGAAAAAAAAAATAAATAAAATGACAAATATTGATTTTTTTCCCCATAAGATTGCATAAATATACCTTCTACTTCACCTACACACATTACCGAAATTTTAAATTATTTAAAACAAAAATACAGGAAAAATCACCCCCCCCCCCCCCAAAAAAAATCTTATCTGTAAACTCTCATCATTAAACTAGATTTTTTGAAATAATAAAGCCTTATAATTTTTTTTTTTGTTAAATACTATGAGTCGTCCTCCAAAGTCTGTACTCAAACTGTTTTCTATACGCCAGAAGCAGCTATTTTTTTTTCAAATAATATACAGGACAATAATTATATAGACTAGCACATTGAATTTTTTCATGCCCAATTAAGAAGATCAATAACTTGATTTGAATTTTGATAAATTTGAAGGAACATGTAAATTGAAACAATTGTAATAAAATAATTGAATAATGGGCACGAACAAGAAATAATACAATTCGTCAAAGATCATTTATTTTTCTTTCTAATTTTTTTTAAAAGTTAAAATTGAAATGCCAATTATTATCTTCTTTTTATACACCCGTCTTAAGACAGGACATATTATGTTATAGGCTTCGTGTCCGTCCGTCTGTCTGTTAGCTTTTTCGTTTCCGGCTCATAACTTTAATACTATTAGGCCTAGGATTATCAAACTTTGTCATCTGATGCATCTTGGGTAGAAGGTGTGTCGCGCACAAAAAGTAAGCCGCTCTGACCTTTAATTAAGAAGATATAGCCAAATATGGAAAAAAGCCTTTCCGACCCAAAACTAGAAAACTATGACTTACAATCATCAAACTTGGCCAGTTTATGCATCTTAGGTAGAAGGTGTGTCATGACCTATTTCAAGGTCACTGTGACCTTTGATTTAAATGAAATTTTAAAAAAAGTGTCTTTTTACTATTCATTTACACATCCCAAATAAAGTAAGAGTATTACACTGTCCTTATTAAAAAAGTGTTAAATCAAGAAAATACTTATTTTTTTAAGCAATACTTGACAGCAATCTATGACAAATATTATGTATGTTAGAGAAATCCTGCCTCTCCAATGAGTGTAATTATCAAGCACTGGTCAAGACTCAAGAAGAATTTTGAATAACAGAAAATTGCATGTCAAATTAGAGAGAAATTAATGAGTTTTTAGTGTGAGGAGTTCGCTAATAGCTAGAGCATGGTGTTATCTATATCCCTTGAGTATTGGGAAAATGTGTGAGCCTGTTGGATTAAAAATAGCTCTTGCTGGCTAGCCTAAGTTTTAAAATGAATTTAATGAAAAGTAATTAAAACTAATTTAATATTGCATAGCAGACTAATCTTATATTACATAAATTTGTTAATTTATAAAAACTAATTTTATGGGATTGGGGTGGAATCAGCATGTCCATATGAATTTTATATTAAAACCTGTCGGACATTAAATGTCAACCAAAAAAAAATCTTTGAGTATTTCATATGTTTTAAAAAAAGTTATGGTAGATAGTGCAGACCCATTCATCTATTGGTATTAATGAGTAGACAAGCATCCAGTTAAAGATTAATTAATGAGTTCAGGCTAGCTGTCTCAATCACTCTGATCAAGCTGTATGATGACCTTTGGGAATTAGACAGAAGAACTGTTGGTTAGTTTATAGCATATGTCATTTGATGGCCAGCCTTTTCTTTTCAAAATCAATTTGGTATAGATTAATTTGTTAAGACTAATTTGATATTGTTTAATATAATGGGCATTTGACAAGGTCTAACACAACCAGCATAAAATCCATCAATGATGTAATATTTATTATAATTAATGCCTACATCACAGGGGATGGATAAATAATTTTAGGAATGGAAAAATCATGGAAATTTAGAATCAGGGTTGACGTGATTGCAAGCTAAACTGTTGAAGAAAATTGTAATTTTTGACGGGCGTATCATGCTGTGGCTCGGCACTTTACTTCTCTTACGAATTGACTGACAGACTCATTATCTACCCAATTTACATGTGTATATCAAATTTTATTAATGAACTTAATACTGGTATAAAAAAAAACTAAAAAAAAATAATAAATACAAAGGTAAATATTCATGTAACATTCAACTCGGAAAATTAAAATATTTAATTAATTGCTTTGAAAAATTTAGGAAAATAAATACAGTCCAGAGAATTAAAATAAATAAGTATGAAATAGTAATCTAATGCAATTGTTTTGTAAAATGAGTTTTGATTGGCTTATGCGCTGATGTTTGAAGCAGTAAAACGAGCATTAACGCAAGTAAAATATTTTCATTGTGACGTCATAATAGACTGACGCAAAAACACAATGCTTCATGACGTATTTCATATAACAAAACGCAACAAAATAAGACGTAATCAACAAACAAAATGCAGTGATTGCATTATAATGGAAATAACTGTCTTCTAATTAGGTATTTGCGACCGTTAATGCTGATTCAACGGTCGCAAATATCAAATTGTTTGTTTGTTTGTTTATTACACTCAGACCATACAATGGTAAATGAGGTACAGGAACATATTTACATAATTATACACAAAATACAAAGTCAAGTGAGGAAGAGTAGTATCAATTAAATATAGCAGGCCAATATTTTTTTTAGCAAACAAAGACAGTTTAAACAGTGAATCAACATTTGTGATTGACATAATATTCTTTAATTTATAAGTATTTACATGAGAACAATACTTCTTATCAATAAGGTTTACCCGTAAAGACAAAAACATGGACACTCCATTACATAGTGAAACTCATCCCCCAAAGTATTTTTGTTACATAAATTACATAATCTTAGAGATCTATCAGTATTAGTCCATCTACCAGATTTGATTGGGAGTTCAATTAGAAGACAGTTATTCCCTAATTTTACAATTATCATAATAGATGTACATTCACACGCTTTGCTTGTATGTACAATGGCGAATGTATATGGAGGAACATCACACATTCGATCTTTTATCCAAATCTACTGATCAATATGCCATTTCGATTGGTTGACACGCTGATTGGCTAATCACTAATCCTGATGGACAGCTCCGTAAAAAAATACTGAACGCGTGTTCGCTATCTGGGACTGCTACTGAATTCCGGGTGCGCTCTCCGGGTCCACTGCAGGTTCGCTCGGGGCCAGCCCTAGCGGAACCCGAGCAAACCCGAAGCGGACCTAGAGAGTGAACCCGGGGTCTGCTCCGGGTTTGCTTTCTGTTAGGTTGTGTCCAGTCCGTATACTGTATGTGTTCATGTGATAGTGTTAGATACATGTACACAGCTTCCTATTATCTTAGGCTAGTGGGTTAACCCTTTAGCTCAGTTGGAAGAGGACTGAACTGGTATGCCATGCAGATACCCTGGGTTCAATCCCAAGCAGATACATATAAATTTCACTGTTTAATACAATCATTTGTGGCAGGTATCAGTTTATTTCAGTGGATTTGACATATGAATTGGTGGTCAGTAGCCAGGAATAAAGAATCTGTTTACAGAGGGTGTTGCCAATCAAACTGACTAAACGTTTCCAAATACACTGCTTACTGTACCAAAGTACACTACATCATGATATATATTTTTTCTCCAAATCAGATGTCCTAGAAAAGCTGTAGATACTGAAGGAAGGACGATACGTAAAATTATGTTGACAATTTAAATACCGCATCTCCTACAGTTCATATAATTTTTTGAATAACGTTATGCTTAGGAAATAAAAATATTTATTTCGTTTAATTCTGTTAGAGTAGTGTTAAGATAAAAAAAATATTGATTGACGTTCTGATACATTTTTTTTCCGAGGTTGTAAGTAAAAGGCTGTAGATCTTACTCTTATCAGACACACCTGTTCGTTTTTTAGCTTTACTGATCAAAGACCCAAAGAGATTATGCAAAAGTGATGGTATCCGTCTTCTGTCCATCTGTCTAGTAAGCTGTCTATCTGTAAAAAAGAAATCAAAAGACTACCTCTCCCTGAGGTTTTGTCTGATTACAGTATAACTCTGCACACAAGTAGACTACACTAAGACATATAATTCTATATATGGGATTCTGATTTCGATGAACAGTGTTGCTATGGTTACTAAAAACAGAAAATTCTGTGAAATATTTTCAAAATGCTACTCCTCCTAAAGTTTTGATCTGTTTCAATATAATGTGGCACATGTGCAGATTGTATACCTAAACGTATACATTCTATTTATTTCTGTTAGGAAATTTAAATCAAAAGTGCTACTTTTCTTTTCCTTTGTCATAAGTACTAACCAGTAAAGTTACAGTCTCATTAGAGACTTCTAGTTTTATCATTATGCTTTATTTGTTCATTTAAACTTACATACTCTTGTTTCTTTTAGACTACCTGAAGTTTTGGATTACCTCAATCAAGACATTTGGAGGCAAAAAGGCACCACTGTTTCTTGTTGTCACACACACAGAAACAAAATCTACAAATGTAAGTATTCTGTCTTAAACAAATGTAAATTATAAAAGGAATGAAGATATCTCCAACCTATTATGAGAATGTACAAGAACTGCCATATTTCAGAAATACACAAACAAAAAGATTTTTGGCCTATTAGGTCATAAGATTGGTTACTGTCTTAAGAAAATGAATTGGTGTCTATTTTTCTTGATGACTATTGGCAAAATATGGATAATAATGCTTGTCTTTGATATTGGTGGCTTACCTGAGCTGCAAACTCAAGTGAGCTTTATGGATCATCTGTTGTCCTATGGCTATTCATCTGTCTCTGTATCCGTTGTTCCTCTTTAAATTTTTCTTATTTTTATGCCCCCCCCCCCCCCTCAAAGAATTCAATTAACCAGCCGAAATTAAAAATTAGATATATTTTCTAGGATCTTTTATATAAGTATTTATTCATTAATATTTATTTTTTCTTTTTTTGTGATTATTTATTATCAATTGATTTTGTTAAAAGGATAGAAATCGAGTTTATCAATATACTCTTTTTTATGTTTGCCATAATGTGTCTTTCCGTTTACCATAACGAGCCTCCATACCTGTACCATGCAGATAAAAATAATCTTTTTCTTGTTTAATTCCATAAACTCTTTTCAGTGCAAGTTGACAATTGTAACAAGCATCAATTTGTGCACATTAATGAGCAATAAGTGAGATTCAAACAAGCTTAAATACCCCCGCAATCATCGGTTGCTACGTTAAAAATGCAACTTCCGTTAAAAAAAGAGTGCTCGCATTATTAAACGCAACGGTAGAAAATTTATTAAAATTCAAAACATGCAAGCATGACAGTTTTTGTTCATTTTAATACCCACCATGACTTGCGGTTCAAACGCCTTGCATGGTATCGGATGAAATTGAGGGTATCCATGGCAGGAAATATAGCGTAATTTCACTATAATAGTGAGATACCACTATTATAGCGGAATTTACGTTTCCCCCCAACCTGATAAATAGTCAAAAATATGATTACATATCAATTAGTTCTCTGTCATAGCGAAAAACAACTTTGCTGTCTGTTGTTACAGTTGCATTAGCAGTCCTAATTGCCGGTAATAGGGTGTATAGAAGGACCATTCTTTCTTCCAAGGGGAGATAATCAAGGGAAAGCTAGGGAGAAGTCATTAGAAGTCACTAAAAATATCATCATAACAAGGTCCTTTGTGCCAGAAAAAAATAAACTTGTGAGAAAGCAGCCTGTGATATTGTGTGTTAATTCTAATTTCTTTAAATCTTGGTTCTTAGGGGTAGGGTAGGGCCACAACGAAGTTTGAGGGGTATATAGGAATCACCTTGTCCGTCTGTCCGACTGTCTGTCTAGCTGTCCGTCCATCCGTCCGTCTGTCTGTCTAGCTGTCCATCTGTCTGTGCAATTGTGTCTGGTCCATATCTTTCTTACAGAGAGACATTAGAATCTACTACTCCACACAAAGATTGCCCATGATCTAAGGGTGTGTCATGACCTTGACCCATGGTCATTTGGGGAACTTCAAGGTCACTGGATGAAAAATGTCTTAATTAGCGTCCGCTCCATATCTTTCTTATGGATAAACTTGGCAGCTTCTCATTTCACGAAAAGATTGCCCATGACACAACGGTGTGTCATGACCTTAACCCAAGGTCATTTGGGGAAATTCAAGGTCACTAGTAGAAAAATTTCATAATTCATGTCCGGTCTATATCTTTGTTATGGATAAACTTGGTAGGTTCTTTTTTTCACACAAAGGTTACTTATGACCTGCGAGTGTGTCTTGACCTTGACCCAAGGTCATTTGGGGATTTTCAAGGTCACTGAAAGAAAATTTTCATATTTCGTTTCCGGTCCATATCTTTCTTATGGATGAACTTGGTAGGGTCTCTTTTCACACAAAGATTTCACATAACCCAAGGGTGTGTCATGACCTTGACCCAAGGTCATTTGGGGAACTTCAAGGTCACTGGAAGAAAAATTTCATAATTCGTGTCCGGTCCATGTCTTTCTTATGGATAAACGTGGTAGGGTCTCTTTTCACACAAAGATTGCACATGAACCGAGGGTGTATCAAGACCTTGACCCAAGGTCATTTGGGGATCTTCAAGGTCACTGGAAGAAAAATTTCATAATTCGTGTCCGGTCCATATCTTTCTTATGGATAAACGTGATAGGTTCTCATTTCACACAAAGATTACCCATGACACAAGGGTGTGTCATGACCTTAACCCAAGGTCATTTGGGGAAGTTCAAGGCCACTGGTAGAAAAATTTCATAATTCGTGTCCGGTCTATATCTTTCTTATGGATTAACTTGGAAGGTTCTCATTTCAAACAAAAATTGCCCATGACCCAGTGGTGTGTCATGACCTTGACCTAAGGTCATTCGTATAACTTCATGGTCTCTGGAAGAAAAATTTCATAATTCATGTTTGATACATATCTTTATTATGGAAAAACTTACTTCTGAAAAACCCAGCGGGAGGTATTTTGTCCCCTTTGGACAGTTCTAGTTGATTTCTATGAAGGGTGTTGCTGTTGTGACTAGAAATAGAAATTTATATGAAATACTTTCAAAATGCTACTCCAAATACAATTTAAGTCTGATTATCATATAATTTGGCATGCAAGTAGACTAGACTGAGGTACATAATAATCCGTTTTGTGTTTTCATACCCCTGCTCCGAAGGAGAGGGGGGTATACTGTTTTACCCTTGTGTGTGTGTCTGTCTGTCTGTCCATGTGTCTGTCCGTAATAAATTTTTGTCGCAGTTTTCTCAGCAACTACTCATCATAAATGCTTGAAATTTTAACACAATCTTCTCTGAGGCATGCCATATGGTGGGATACATTTTTGATAAAATCCGATGTCAACTTCCTGTTTGTCTGTGCGTCTGTCCGTTTCATACATAACAAATTTTCGTCGCAGTTTTCTCAGCAACTACTCATCGTAGATGCTTGAAATTTTAACATAATCTTCTCTGAGGCATGGCATATGGTGGGAGACATTTTTGATAAAATCCGATGTCAACTTCCTGTTTGTCTGTGCGTCTGTCCGTTTCATACATAACAAATTTTCGTCACAGTTTTCTCATTAGCTATTCATCGCAGATGCTTGAAATTTTATTACACTCTTTGTTGAGGCATGCCATATGGTGGCATTAAGTTTGATATGAATCTGATGTCAACTTCATATTTTTTCTGTGCATCTGCCTATAATTGAACTTGTGTATATCAACATGATAGTGCTTATTTACATCAGAGCGGGGGTATTACTAGTGAGCATTGGCTCACAGATTTCTCGATGATTTTGAAGATTGATGTTCATAGATATTACCAAAGTAATTTAAATTGAAAATTCTGAAAAAAAAAATATTAAAAGCTACTCCTACAGTTATAGTCTAATTGAAATCTTGCCACAAAAGGAGACTTAATCAAGGATCATTATCCTATTTATTGCTTTTGTAACGTTTTAAGTCCCTGCTGCTACTTTTCTCCTCCTTTATTATAAGTACAAACCAGAAGAGCTACAGTCTCGACAGAAACTTCTGTTTTTAGCTCTACTGGTCAGAGACCAAAAGAGCTTATGCGATAGTAAGGTGTCCGTCGTCCGTCCGTCTGTCTAGCTGTCCGTCTGTTGGTAAACAATTTTTCAAAACGATACTCCTCTTACAGTTTTGGTCTGGTTTTAATATAACTTGGCACACAAGTGGACTACACTAAGATACAAAAAATAGTGCATCGGATTTTGATTTCGATGAACGGTGTTGCCATGGTTACTAAAAATAGAATTTCCTGTGAAATTCCTTTAAAACGCTACTTCTCCTACAATTTTGATCTGATTTCAATATAACTTGGCACACAAGTAGACTACACTAAAATACATAGAATAGTGCATCCTTTTTTGATTTCGATGAACGGTGTTGCCATGGTAACTAAAAATAGAATTTTCTGTAAAATTCCTTTAAAAAGCTACTCCTCCTACAATTTTGATCTGATTTCAATATAACATGGCACACAAGTAGACTACACTAAGATACATCAAATAGTGCATTGGTTTTTGATTTCGATGAACGGTGTTGCCACGGTTACTAAAAATAGAAATGTCTGTGAAATTCCTTTGAAACGCTACTCCTTCTACAGTTGTGGTCTGATGGCAATGGCTTCTTTTCTCATCCTTTGTTATAAGTACGAACAAGTAGAGCTACAGTCTCGACAGAGACTTCTGGTTTTCATCTTGGCTCCTTTTGGGAAGGATAGGGTCACAAAAGGGGGTCAAAGTATTGCATAGGAATGAAATAAGCGTTATGGCCTAAGGTCCTCTTGTATAAAGTTCTTGTTGTTGCATATATGGCATATGGAAAAACTTTTCATAGATGACTACAATGATTCAAACAACTAGGCTTGCTCGGGATGCTGAATCTTACCTACATTTTCCAGATGGATGACCAGGCTAAAGTGTTTGGAACAGGTCCATTCCCAAGTAACTACAAGCCCTAGCAGGGCCAAATTTGCATGGTTGATACATATAGGGATAAACACTAGTCTACTAGATTTGCTTCAGATGCTGGACTTGACCTACATTTTTTTTAGCTCACCTCAACGAGTAGGGAGGGGGGCTTACATGATACCGGAGGCATCGGCGTTATTGTCGGCGTCAAACCTTAATGTTTTGGGGTTTTTTTTGTAAGTAGTTCTATGCCCTATATGATCATACATGCATTAAACATGCTTCTTGTGTGTTACATTGATCAGATGATGTTTCAAATGCTGCATTTCACCGAAGAAATGACCAATGTTAATGTTTTTTGAGCAGGTTAACATTTTTGGTGCAGTTTTTGGTGTAAGTCTTATTTCCAAGAAATTATTAAGTCCTGTGAAGACCAAACTTGCATGGATGATGTGTAAGGATGCACACTACCAAACTTGCTTTGGATGCATGATCTGACCTACATTTTCTGGATGAGTGAACAGGTTGATGTTTTTTGTGTAGTTCTCAT